TAGTATTCATAAAGAATCATCTTACTGAATTTAAGTAAGAATGGTTTGTGAGATGCATGAAAACTTTTCACGGTTGGCATATAGTTTGTGGTCTGTTCTCTTGACTTGGAGATATTATTCCTCTCTCTTCAAGACGCTAACCAAATGATAATTTTAAATGAATAGAAAGCTGCAGTTTGGCCAGTACATAAGATCTCTCTTGAGAAAGTTCATTTGAAACATTTTTGCAAGTCACCAGACTGAAACTGGTAGTTAAATCAGGGCTGTCCAACTTCTAAGCAGCTGGGGACCCCACACTGTATAAGCTACACCAGCATGAGCCACTGGCACCCTGCGCTGAACATGCAGGCACTTTCTCTCTGCGCCTTGCACATGGCTTCAACTTCAGCTCCTTGGCTGCATGCTCCCTTGCTGCACCATGCCACATGGGCTCCCCAGGCTGCAGGTTCCCCCAGCGCCGGAGGCTGTGCTATGCTCTGCCACACCACCCTCTGGGTTGGAGGCTGGAAGAAAAAGCCAGAATTAAGGGGAACCCAGAAACCATGAAGCTGGATCAGTGGGGGAAGTGATGTCTGGGAGTGAGCATGGAAACTGCAAATTAACCCTTTGCTGGCCACCAGTTTGACAGCCCTGACTTAAGTGAATCATTTCTGTTGCTTGGTTTTTTTTCCTGCCTTTACTGTTTAGCAGTCCATGTGCACATGACCCAGTATTTCATGAGGTGTTTATAAAATAGCATGTTTAATAACTTTCACTAGAGTGCATCTTGTACACATATTTGTATGCATCTGTCACACACACGTATGCGCATGCTTTTTCCACAAGAGAACTTAATTACTATATTTACTCGACTGTCAGACACATCATGTCCCCCCCTGTAATCAGCATGGGGGAAAAAAGCCCCAAACCCTGTGTTGTTTTTTTTTTCACACATAAGAAAACCTCCTTCATTAAATACATTGCCTATCATTAAACTGTGCTCAGTAATGAAAAACAATTTTAAAGTTGATTGAATGCATCCCAAATGGAGCATGTCTGTAAAACACTCCATCAATATCAAGCAAACATACCAGTTGGAATTTACCTTTTCATTTTTTTTTTTAAATAAAATTCTCATGTTCCCAGCCAGATCAAGTCCAAATCCATGAGTCAGTCCAGAACTATAAGTCACCCTACAACCGGCAAACATACTGCACCCCTACCAGGGACTTCAGATATTTCCAGTGTCTTTTGGCAGTCAGCCTACGTGGTGTAATAAAAGATATCACTTCTACCAAGAGTTACAGTTCCTCTCATCTGCATGTACACTTTTGGACAGTCTCAGATCTCATGACAAGAACACCTGGTACCAGTCATGAGTGGTGGGTTCAGGATAAGCAATATTTAGACTTGCAGCAGCGGACATCTCTTTTATACATAAATTATCATAACTTTAGTTCCATTATTTACTGTCCCTTAGAGGCTACACTTATGAAAAGCTTATAGAGAAATAGTTTTAAAATGGCTGTTTGTGGAAACCAGGTAGAAACGTTTAAATCATACTATTTATTTCTTCATTTGTTCTTTCATCTGCATTCCTGGTTAGAACATGTGAATTATGTGTCCAAAATGAAGAGAGAAATTAGATTTTATAACTGAACATGTATGAATAGTTTAGACTAGGGGTGTCAAAGGTATGGCACCATGTTGCATGGTCTGCAGGGCTGGTAGAAGGACTCAGCAGGGGTGGAGACAGCAGGGACAGGACCTGCTGCTGAAATCCAGGGCATACAGCTCTGTTCAGGACACTTGTCATTGATGGAGGGATACGGGAAAACAATGGCTGTGTAAACCCCTATACTGTTTCTGTGCTACAAAATTAAATGTTGAATTATTTAGCTTAATTATTTAATTTGTGCTCTAGGAATGGGTAGTATGCCAAACCTGTCCATCCCAACATCTGTGCCTACAGTTGCACCTTTAACTCCCATGTCATCCCTGGCTTCGGTGACTTCAGTTCCTCCTTTGGTTATCTCTGCTCCCCTGGTGCCTTCTGTTAGTACATCATCATTGCCAAATGGAACATCTGGTCTCCTTCAGCCTTTATCTCTGCCTTTCTCTTCAGGTAAGTACAGTACAATGAGTTACTCCGTTTTAGACACATGCATCTAAGTCTTAGTTTATTTTTAGATTGGCAATAAGAGATCTTATCTGTATGCAGAAAGAATCTGTATTGTATGTAAAATTCTAATTTGTTCTATAAGGCCAGTTGTAACTGGTGTGGCCTGCTCAACTTCCTGTCCATACATTTGAACACACACAAAGTCATGAGTTTGTTATTGAAATAACCTTTAATCACCTTCAGACTGTTGGCAGTAGGATATAACACAGAGCACATGAATTTCAATATTCCTTTGCAGCTAATATTTAGTTATTATTTATGTATTCTACTTCATTTTTACACCAATTATCACCTGGAAAAAATCAACATTGCATAGCTGTCTTGCTGCTAACAAAATCTAGGGCCTTCACTACAAAGTAGCCATTAGCTTGTATCCATGTTATTTTATTTTCTGTTTCAGCATTGCCTCATACTGGCTCCTTGAGTCCCATGACAGGAGGGTTTGGTGGTACTAACATTCAAAAGGCACAGTCTCTGATCGATTTAGGATCTAGCAGGTATGAAACTTAAGATTCCCAATTTGCTGTGTCCTAGACTTCAGCAACAAATGAAGTTTTGAAAAATACAATGGATGCATCTTCTCAGCTTCAGAGCGCATATTATAAAAGTGTTGCATTTCTAAACATTGATAGAGTTTAAAGAGATACATTCAGGGTTTAAAGAAGAAAGTGTTTGGATACACACAGTTAATAACATTGTCAACAAATGTTATAGGAGAGTTCTAAGTAGGACAAAGGACTCAAGCCAAAAAGAATGGGATGTACAGTTAGTAAGAATGGGATGTACAGTAAAATAAACAGGCAAAGCATACAAAGAGGTGATAGAAGCCACAGACTAAATAGTCTTCAGACAACACCTGACTTCTGAGCATGTGCCCCGAAAGAGTGATTTGAAATGATCTGTTTAAGCATTGAACATTTAGGTTTAGGCAGCAAAGAGCTCTCTGTAGAGAATGGGGGGTAGTTCTTGTTTTCCTCCTTGCTGCATTACTCTTGCTTTCTTGTTTGTCCAGTTCTACTGAATGTTCTCACTTATCTTATTCAATGCCCTGCCAGCCATGCTGATCTCCTGGGAAGTGGAAGAGGGTGAAGGATGGCTAGAAGGAGAAGCCCATATCCTGCACGAATACTTTTAACTACTATACTTTTAGCCATATGGTGGACAGTGGTATTACCAATGGCAGTAGTGTGGAGGTGAATTCAGTGGTTTTTTAATACAAGTTGGTCATGTCTTTTGTCTGCATATTAACGTGGCCCTTTCTAGGGTTCTAAATTGCACTTGGCTACACCGGGCCCAGATATGAATTCGTCCAAAGGTTAGGGGAGAGTCAGTTGCCAAGGTGTGCGTTCTGGGTTGTATCTGAGCAGATGCCTGCCCTGAAGCATAGCTGCCCTGAGATTCTTGTATTTAAACGGAGGCAAGTACTAGATATAGGCACTTGCACTGTCTGTAGATATGCTCATTCATGTTCCAATTAGAACACATCACAACAGACTCAATTAATCGAGTCTGCTCCGCCTTCTAATTAGAATGCTTCAGCATCACCTCACTGTCACATGTACGAAGCCCCCCACATTTTAAAATGGCTCTGGGGGCACTTTAACTAAACCTTGTTGAATGAGTTTTAGTTAAAGCGCCCCCCCCCCCCATGGCCATTTTAATATGTGGGGGGTGGGAGGGGCCTTAATACATGTGACTGTAAGCTGTTTTTATTAGAGCAGCTGTCTGGGAACCACTCTAATTAAAACGGCTCCCTCTGCCTCTGAGCATGTGTATAGGCAGCCATAAGTAGCATTTAGGGTGCTTGTAGCAAGCCAGTTCGAATAATTCTATAGAGATTACACATCAAACTCCTGTCTTAGTTCCATGTCATTACAGCAGTGTGTTCATTCATGCTGATTAGATAGAAGTATGTTTGTAGAACTTGTCTAAATGAATAGCCATTATAAATATTTATCTAAGAGAATTTCAAAAATAATGAAACTTAAGTAAGAATTGTGTATAAAGTACATGTTGTAATTTTAGTTTCAGAGGCATGGAAGAAATACAGTGTGGTCTAGGGTAGTGGTAGATTGGTCTAGGTAGTGAGATATATATAACCATTGAACAAAAATCCATACTGATGAGGGTATAAGAAAAACAAACAGTCTGTGCTATTGTAGGATTAAACGTGTTACTTGTACCAGTGTTAAAAACTAGCAAAGAGATTAATTTGTGAACCTATTGATACCATGAGGTTTAAGCAAGCCAATCAAGAATAACTATGGGTCCAAATGACTTCTACTCCCTAACACAGAAGGCAAACAGCCTTGGAGAACGTCAAGAAAATGGGAACTTTTCTGGCAGTGCTGTGTTTTAGAAAGGTAGGCCATCCCTGGCTGAACAGTAACCAACTTGACTGGTTATGACCAGTTTCTGGAATGCGTATTCCAGAGAATTAAAAGACTGGAAATCTTGGGAGAAGAAGAAACTAAGTCCCTGTCTACAGAGTAAACTTACCATGATATTGGATGCATCTACATTGGACGCTAAAGGCACAGTAGACTAATTCTACTGTGCATTAGCATGGCCAGCAAAAACTGTGCTAACATGCAGTAGAATTAGTCTACTGCGCATTAGCATCATGAAAAAGCATGCAACTGTACAGGTGCACCGATTACCTCTCATTAACATTAGTGCCTGTAACTATGGGTACTAAACTTAATGCACCGTAATTATGGTGCATTAATGAACATGTAGCCACGGCTACAGAGCAGCATCTTGAAGAAAGTTTATGCTGAAGAAAGGCTAGGTTGCTCCTAACAGCCTGATTGGCTTCACATGTTAAAAGAAATCACGTAAAAAGCAATTTGGTTTTTTGGTTTTTAAAATAAGTTTCTGACTGAGTCGATGATGTGGTCTATCAGCAGAAATGACAAACGTTTTCAAACAGAAATTTGCTTTTTTGCTCTGGACTAGTATTTTTCACTGAAGTTCCCTGTGTAGTCAGCAGGTTTGTACTATGTAGTCAGTGAAATCATATATTGACATCATATATTGTAAGAGCAGCACAGAATCTGAGCTAAATGGTATGAAAGAGGCCTTTTGTTTGGGGGTATTGGGAGGAACAGTGATTATAGAAGCTCTAGATATTTTGGGGGGTGAGTTGGTTGGTTGGCTGTTTTCTATATGAATGTTTGATTTTTAGATGCAAGGATTTTTAGTGATATTGTTTATTGGACCAACTGTATAGCTGGGAGAGATGTTGGACAAGCTTTCAGGCATCCAACGTCCTTCTTCAGGTCTAAATATAATCTAAAAGCCAAGTTTTTATGTTATTTTTAAAAGTTGCTTCTCAGACTTTCTCCTTAGGCCTCAAGGTTATTCCACAGGCTTTAACAAGCATTGTGATGTATTGTCTCATTCTTTCTGAACGTACTAGATATGTCATTTTGTCATGCTTTTCTCAGATTTTTGGTTTTCTGGCATGTTATTTATCAGTACTATCAGTAAAACTTTTTTTTCTGTTGTATTTATCACTGCAGTGCTCTAAAAAATCATGGTGCTGTATTTAATGCTGTATTTAATATAAACGTTCCCTTTTTTCATCAAGAAAGTTATGCACAGCTGTGTACACGTATAGTCACAAAAGATGTAATCAAAGAAGTGCAGAAAGGGTCTACTCAGATGATTAGGGGTATGAAGAACCAATCTTACAAAGCAGACCTGAAGAGTTTTGTCTTGTTTACCCAAGTTAAACAGTGACTGAGGAGGTGTCTGAATGCTCTTTCAAATATATCAGCTGGGTAAACACAGAGGAGCACTGCTATTTAAAGGACAATGTTGGCACAAAAACAAAAAGATGCAAACAAGCTATGAATAATGAGAAGAAGGTTTCTAATCATCGGAGCAGTTTGCTGCTGAAACAATTTACCAGTAGTAGCAGTGGGGGCAAAAAAATTACTTTTAAGTTGAAGCATGATCAGAATATGGTGGGAATTATATAATATAGTTGTCTGTGATAGCAGAAGACTGGAGTTGATGATAACCTACCCCCAGTCCCTTTTAGTCCTGTGTTCCTAATTTCATTGCAGGTTTGAAAACATTGTGTAATGAAGCCATTATAAGCCCTTTTGATAGGGTGGGGTATACATCTAAATTACCAAATAATATTTATATTACGGTAGCATCCTGAGGCAGGATGAGCATCATGTTATGCTAAGGGCTGCATGATGTATAAAAGAGAAAAACAGCGCTGTAACAGGATAAATAGCATATAATCTAGGGTCTCTGAAGGGAACCTTTATAATTTAGAAGATTTGTTTTTTCTTTTAAACATTTGTATTGCAGTTCAAATTCTTCCTCTACTACTTCACTAACTGGGAGTTCACCCAAGACTGGATCCTCAGACTGGGCTGTTCCTCAGGCCTCCAGATTAAAATATAGACAAAAATTTAACAGTCTCGATAAGGGCATGAGTGGATATCTATCAGGTCAGTATAACATTTGAGCTAGGAAAAAGAGCTTCTTAATTGTTAGAAATGTAGGCCAATGGAAGTTTTTACAATTTAGCTGTGTGTTCTGGGGCTCACAGTGTTAAATATAACACTGACCAACAGGTTACACATGTTAAGTAATGGGGAATGGCTGAATTGATCTTCATTCTCTCTTCTCAATCTAGCCTGATACTAATGGGGTGAATATACACTATATAATCTCATACACAGGTGAATAAAATAAAAGCCATCTGCAGTATCCTTTTTTTACTGTGCACTGATGTATACAGGCACTCTGTATTATTGTATTATGTACAAGCCATAGAAATTGCTCTGTTATATACTTTTTAGGGGTGTTTTTCCACTTAGGCAAAACAAGCAGTGCAAGAAACATACTATTTCCCCAAGGAATTGAGGTAGGAATTTTTCAGAAGTCCCTGTATGCTTTGGGAGCACAAGCTCCAGTGATATTTTTTTTCAGTGAGATATTTTGTTTCTAAATAATTGATTTTGAAAAATGCCATACATAGTCGCTAAGAAAGCATGGATTTCTATAAACTCCTTAGGCAGGAGGCTAGGAAAGGTTTGTTATCTGCTCCAGTCCACAGGCCTGTGTTCACAATTGATTTTTGTTACATAGAGCAAGTCCATTTCCCTTCTCATTTGTAGACAGTTTCCGTGTCTATAAAATGGGAGCATTTTCACCACTGTTGTAAGGGATGTTGAGATTGAAGAATGAGATGCATTCTCTCTTTTTTTTTTTTTAAAGCAGAGGTGTTCTTTAAAAT